TTGATTGGAGCTGCCGGGACCTCCCTGCCAGTCAGCGCAGAACGCTGTGAAACCTGGAACTTTACAGCTTAGCAACGGGAAACCTGGCGAAACTCTGGAATTAATTTAAGGAAAGGGGCAGGAGAAAACCAAGAAGGGAATTAGAAGCCAAATAATCAGGTTGCACCGTTTTATTATTACCTTTGCGGCGAGGGTAAGTCATGAACATTTTCAGCGCTCATTACAAGCAGAGAGGGAACTAGCCAGCCTTCTTGTCTTGAACTCGGGGAATAATGTTTTGTTTTCCTGAGCTGGTGCTGGTTTAGGGAGATGAACACAGTCAAGGGTGTACAGAACAGGTACAGTAATTAAAGAAGAAACACAGCTGTTTCTCCAGGAGCTTCCTGGCCACCTTTTGGGATCAGCTTCTCTCATGTGACATCAAGACACCAGCCTGTAAAGGATTTCTTTTCAGATAGAGGCCCAGTCAGAGGTGATAAGGGCATTGATGGGTCCATTCCATGAGTATTGATGGAGTGTCATTCACGTATCATCACTGAGGCAGGGGCTATAAAGCAGAAGTGAGCTTCACATATGGGCCCCTGCCTCTGTGGGCTGATGGTCTAGCTTCTAGTCAGGGTGGGGGAGACTAACTAGATATTAACAGTCAGTTATACAATAGCTATGTGATTACAATTGTACCGAGTCTATGGAGGAAAAGGGTTGAGTGACAGGAAAGAGGTGTATGTGTCGGAAGAGCATGGTTGGAAGATTCCTGGTTATCTTGGTCCTGCTTGGAATATCGTAGTGGGGGGACGGGGCCAAGAAGGAGGCTGGGCCAAGAAGGAGGCTGGGCAGCTGGACCAGGCAAGCCCACAACAGGATCTCCCAGGCCTATGAAACTTAGAGTCTGTCCTAGAGCAATCAGGAAAATGAGAAACCATTTAGGTTTCTAAACAGGGGCATGGAGTGATTAGATTTACATATCCAGGCACTCTGGCTGTTTGGGGGGAGATCAGAGTAGAGAGGGTTAGGGAAGGATGCTGGGAGATGGACCACTAGGAGGATGCTGAGATGACACATGGGTGATGCCTCCAGGGACCACAGGCATGAAACCCCAGTCCCCCATCAGGGCCTTGTTGACTCTTAGCCAGCTCCATCCCAGGGCCTTGTGCCTTGTGCCTTGGCAAACATCCATTTAGATGCCTCGCTGTGAGGTAGCATGACCAACTCTTCCTGGTTGGCCCAGGCCTGTCTTAGTTTTAGTGTGTAAAGCCCCCAGCCCCAGAAAACCCCAGGATGGTTGGTCAGCCACTCTGGGACTGGATAAAATAGGGCAGCAGAACCAGCTTCCCTACTGCATGGGGCTTCCCGCAGCTTCTGTCCAGGCAGCCTAGACACAGGCTCAGCAGCTAGTTTGCTGTGTGGCCCAGAACAAATTACTCAGCCTCTCAGGGCCACTGTTTCCTCATTTGCAAAGTGGAGTTTGACCTGGAGAGCCACTGGTCTCCTGGCAGCTCTGATATCCTGGCCCTGCTGTCTTATTTCAAAGCTTAATCATTGCAGAGGGTCAAGCTTAGATGACAGGGCCGTGCACCCATGGTGCAGCCATGGGCAGGGTACCTTCCTCTCCGGGCCTAGTGTGCTCCTCTGAAAAATGAAAATACTAGGACTTGTCATGGAAGTGTGAGCACTGAGTTAACTGCGATTATTCTGTGGGTTCAGTATAGCTGGATTCTTGGCAGTTGGGAAGTGTGGGTATAGTGGTTTATGAAAAGTGTGAGAGAGAGGACTTTTCTTGAGTATTGAAAACTGCGAGTTTTCAGAAAAATGAGGATGTGATTAAGCACTCTTGCATCTCATGTCTGATGACTTGGACTTCATTTAGAGCCATTACACTCTGAAGGTTGCCTTTCACCTCCGAGTATCTGGTTCTGTGAGGTGGAGACTCGGTCTTTTCTGCCACTGTCCCCCACTCATAAAAAAGTTTCTTGAGTTAGTTGAGGTCATGTTATACCCATTTTATGAGTGAGAAAACCAAGGCTCAGGGAGGTTAAAGGTCCTGCCATTAAGTGAAGTAGGAATTTGAAACGGGATCTGATTCAGACTCAAGTTCTTTCTACCAATTGGCCTCTGCTTCTTCAGGGGGTGCCCAGAGAAGACAAGCATGATGAGGAAGGGGTGGCAGGGCAGAAGCCGAGGGAGTACCCCCTGTGAAGACCTGGCTAGGAATTCTCTGGAGGGCGCAGCTATGGCAGGCCTGGCATGGTGCCAGCCTCCTGGCCTGGTCCTCATGAGGACAGGGGCCTTCAGATGCTGCTTTCTCGCCTTGCTGGTTGCCATGGGGATGGAGGGTGTGTGTGCGTGAACGTGCATGTGCACATGCTGAGATGTATCTCAAATCTGCTACTCAGATTTGCCCCAGAGATGCCAACAGTGGGTGGGCAGACCAACCTGATAATCCTTGAGAGAAGGGGAGGAAAAGACTGGTTTTTCTTTTTTACTGTGAAAAATTTGAGGCATACACAAGAGTAGAGTATATGGTACAATGAACCCCAGCTACCCACCATCCATCTTCAACACTCATCAGCTCTTAGCCAATCTTGTTCCATCTGTACCCCCTGCCCTCCTCCCTCATCCCAGATACTCAGAAGCAAATTCCTGGCATCATCTATTTCTTTTGCAAGTATTTTAGTATAAGACTCAAAAAGGTGTTTTTTTGTTTTTTTTCTTTAACCATTATCACACCTGCTAAAAGTAACAGTAATGCTTTAATATCAGCTAATATCCAGGGTTTATTTCTCTGACTATCTCAAATAATTTCTTTACTGTTGTTTAAAATCAGGATCTCTGTAAATTTTGTACTTTGTGATTTGATAATTTGTCTCTTTATCTCTCTTAATCTGTGGGTTCTCTCTCCCTTTCTTTTTCTTCTTTTGTAATTCACTTGTTGAGGAAACTGAGTTGATTCTGTAGTGTCCAACAGTCTGGATTTTGCTTGTTGCATTCCCATCTTGGGGTTACACTTGTTCTTCTTGATATATTTCTTGTAAATCGGTAGTTAGATCTACAAGTTTGCTGAGATTCATGGGGTTTTTGTGTGTGTGTTTGCATGACTACTTCCTGGGGCTGTTTTGTATTCCCATTTAAAGGCACATATTTCTGCTTGTCCCTCTTTGTGATGGTAGCAGCCATTGATCACCGTCTAGATCCATTAGAGATGGCAAAATGGTGGCCTAATTTCATCCTTCTGTTTTTGTTTGTTGGCTGGAATACTTTTATAAAGAGAAACTTCCCCTTATCAACTATATGGTTTCTGTAAGATATGGTACATACCAGAAAAGACAACTGCTTGATTCTTTTCCTTAATATGACAACCTCCAAAATAATGAGCTGGCTTCCCTAAATCCTCAAAAGATGATAAATGTGCTTTTCTGTTCTTTGAAGTATTGTGAACTCACAGATTTGGACGCATATGACCATGTTTCAATCCACTGCAGTTATTCTTATTGATGCCCAAATAATCCCCTTTGGCCAGTGGGGGCCCCTTCACATTGTCCCCATGTTCACATGCTTTTTAACATGACCCCAAAAGTGTTTGACAGCTTCCCTGTTACCTGGGTTACAAGATGTTCCAGGTTCATTCTGTACATGCCTTCCTCAGATCTGGAATCAGCCATGTCGCCCCAGAGCCCGGACTTCCAGTGAGAAGTGGTGTTTAGAGACCATAATGTGGGTGCTGGGAGTGCTCACTGCTACTCCACTTGTCATGATTTCTAACTTTTTCAGTGGACAGAGGTAGGAAATAAGTATTTTGTAAGGCATAATGTAACAGGAGTTCCTACTGATGCTTCTAATTCAAATGTGGAACTGTAGGTTTTCTACTTTGTGACCTTACATCCACATCTGCTTTCTTCTGTGACAGTGACAACCCTGTCTCAAAGCAGAGCCTCTTGTTGTGTCTCCCTTTAAGCAGGAAGCATGTTAGAAAGCACTGAAGTCTTTCCCTCAGAAATGAACTTGAGTTCTCCAATGAGGTTTAGAAAAGGCCTGGGAGAAGCTCACATCTGGGTTCTCAAGGGGCCACATTCTCATGGCTGATGAACCAGCTCCTTCCAGTATTCTGCATGTAGATCCTCTGATCTAGCTGCTTTCAATCCTGGCTGCACATTTGAATCACATGGGGATTTATTAAAAACCCCTCCTAATCACAATTAAATCAGAATCTCTGGATCTGATACCCTAACATTAGTGTTTTTTAAAGCAGCCTGGGTAATTTTAATGTGCAGCCAGGATTTAAAATCACTACTCCACCCCTGCTCCTCAGCCAAAGGAAGAAAAGAAGGAAGAAAGGGGTAATGATGGAATAGTGCTGCCTTTGAAGCCCGTTAGCCTGGCTCTGAATTCTGGCACTGGCAGTTCTACCTATGAAATATCTGGAACAGTGCTGATCAATAGAACTTTCTGCAGTAATCAAAATGGTCTGTATCTGTGCTGCCCAATGTGGTACCCACTGACTACATGTGGTTAGTGGGCACTTGAACTAGTTGTCGGTACAATCTAGGCAGTGAATTTTTTATTTTTAAGCTATTAACTAATTTACAAGTGGCCAGCAGCTACTGTCTTGGACAGCGCCACCCTGGAAAACTACTAAACCTCTAGGAGCCTCATATCTATAAATTAAGGGACAAATAAGAGTTACTTCTCAATTGGGCTATTGTCAGGATTGGAGATCATGTATACTGAGCACCTGGTAATGTGCCAGGCCTCCAATAAAATGCTGCTTATTTTCCTTATTAACGTCAGAGTTTCACTCTTTAAAAACAAAAAAGCAGCTTGCCTGGAAAATGAGTGCTCAGAAGCACCCCAACAGAGAGACTAGAAATTCTAAGCCTTTCCCAGAGAAACCCTTGGAAAATATTCCTTAATTGTTAGAAGTTCAATAGCAGCAGGAGGTTATCAGTTGCAAGGGCTGTATTTCATTACAGATCTAGCGGCAGCTCAATAAATTAAGCAATCACTCAAAATAACATGTTGCTTTAATCCCCTCTTGGAACAATTTCAAGTCGTTTGGTTTTATATTAGCACAGCTCTTGAAAGGCGACTCACATTGGCCTCGTTTCTTTTCCCTCAATTCATCAGCCCCTCTCTGGATATATCTTTGCATCTCCTGGCTAGCAGGAGGAAGGATTCCAAGCTGAGCAGACCTTCTTTCATCAAAACTGGAGCGTTTTTCCATCCTCTGGCCTTTATGCGTTCCACATTTCATTTGCTAAAATTATTGGCAGGTTTATCTGCAACTAAAACAGAAAGAGACACCTCTCAGCAGCCAGTTCTGGATGTGGAAAGCTAACTTGTAGAGGCTTTTCCATTCTCATCGTCTCCCTACTGGTTTATGATCTCACTGTAGAATTTCATTTCCCCTAGAAACTTGGCACTGGAGGTGTCAGCCTGGGAACATATTTGTTTGTGTAAATTAAAAGAAGAATATGTTTTGACCATATTTAAGTTCTAACCGAACCAAAGAAATAAATACTGAGTCGTACAACGCTTCTCACGACAGGGTTCTGGCTCCCCTCCCCAAACTGTCTTTGTTTATAAAACCCAAACCAACCAGGCCTCTGAATGGCATATTGCTTCCCAAAGTGACAAGGGACAACCTCAGAGGCCATGTCCACCCCAACCCAGATGCACATGGAAAGTCCCCTTACCTCATTTGGGATCTGCTTCCCCGACACACTGCATTCTTGCAAGGGTGTGTGAGGGTGCTGGAAATAGGCACCCTCACACGTGCGTTGTCGATGGGCATGAATGGATGATACTTTCTGCACTGGGAAATAGCTACAGAAATTAAAAAGGCATATATCCTCTGCCCAAGAAACTCCACTTCTAGGAAGGTATCCTATGAACGTACTTGGATACATGCCAAAATGTATATACGTTATAACAGCAAAATCCTGATTTGGGAGGCTCTGGGCTGCACAGGAACCTGAGTTGATCCGATTAACATAAAAGGGTTGGTATGGGGGGCCTCATTACTCGGGTGGCTGAGACCGGAAAGGGAAAGGCCGAGCTGCGCTTGAATCTGGGGCCTGTAAGGCTCTGGGGTCTGACTGCCTGGTGGGTCTCTCTCCTGTTCCCTACCCTACCCGGTCCCTGGTGTCTCCCTCCCTCTGCTTAGAGATCTCACTCTCTGGAGCCACAGCTGGCTCTGGACGCTGGAGAAGAGGGGAGAAGAAACCTTCCCACCAGCTCCAGTTAGGACAATCCTGGATTGGGCCTGGTTGGGCCACATGACCCCTCCTGAACCAATCACTGTGGCCCAGTGCAGAAGTGGGTTACTGTGGTGGGTCAGCCTTGGTCATGTGCCGATGCCTGGCCTCATCAGCTGAGGGACGGGTGTTGTGAGCAGCGATCATTGTCCATCTTCACGCTGGGTGTCAGGTCTGTTGCGGGAAGTGGGGGAGAAAGTTCGAGAAGAAAAAAAAGCAGCTAGAACCCAGCTACCTACCGCCTCTGGAGACTTCTCTTGGCTGTGCCGCATCTACATCCATTCTGCTGAGACTTGCCTCTATCCTGAGTTGGACTTTGCTCTAAGATCCACTTTGTGGTCTACCAGCCCAGAAGCTGCCAGCAAGATTTACTCAGACCTGTTGTTTTGCTATTGTCATTTGTTATTTTTATCACATTAGAGGTTTTTTAAATCTTTGGTTTATGATTGCCTCTCTTGCCCCAAGGGGTAGGAACTGCCGGGTCTTAATTACCATGTTGCTTACGCCCAGTAGGCAGCGCCTTATACACGGCAGGTGCTCAGATAATTGAATGAATGACGTTTCTTCACTCCCTGAACATCCCACAGAGAACAGGAGGAGCCCAAGGTCCTTACCTGTTCCCACCTTGACGAGTCTCCCTTGTCCCTCCTGTCCCGCCCTGCCACCCTGCTGCCCACCCTTCCTGAAGATTCCGGTGCTGTAAGCACCTCGTTGGGAGCTCTGCATCTCTGGGTGTCTAAAGACGATGAATTCTTGGGTTGAGCGGCTAAATAAGCACAGGAAATAGGGTTCACTTAGTGGCGATTATCCTTGAGAAGGACAGTGGAACTCTGAGCTGGGAGCGGTTGGGCGCCGTGACTGGTTGCCGGTGTCGGCCATGACCACCTGCCTCTAATGGGCACCCCTGGTCCCGCCACTGTCCTGGGTGGTTTGCCACCCAGTGGGCCTCTGCTCTGAAGACCGCAGCTCTGTCATTTGCTGTGAAAGCAGAGTACGCTGGCAGTCCAAGACAAAATGGTGTGATGGAAGAATGCAGCTGCAGGTTCTGAGGGAGGAAGGCTTAAGACAAATGGTCATTTTTCAAAAAGTACTTTTAATTCACATGTCAGCTGAGGTCAGCTTGTTTTTGAAGATTCACATATAATGGGCTTGAACCCTGCCCCACATGCCGCTGTCTCCCAGGAGGGAGACCCAACTGTGCTTGGAACCTTCCAGGGGTTGGGTGAAGGGTGCTTATGCCTCTCCTAGGCACCAAGGCTCTAAATTCTTATGTCCCACGAATTAGTTCTGCTTGGGTGCCCTTTTGCTGGTCACTTGGTCATGTGACCTGTGAGCTGCACAGGGCCTATGCTTGGTTTAATGCTCTGCTGTTGTCTTGAACTTCTTAGTAATTTTTGGACAAAGGGCACATTTTCACCTTGCAAATTATGTAGCCAGTCCTGCTTCACTCAGGAGCTGTTCCTTTCCCACCTCACACTGACCCATGTTAGCCTCTGTCCCAATCAATTCCTTCATTCTCACCAAATTCCATCCACACACAGATGTGGATGTAGGAGACTTTGAGGGTTTGGGACAAAAGAAAATGTTGACCTCTTGGCCCAGTTAACAATATAAAGGGCAGTGTTTGAATAGGCTCAAACCGCTCAGTGGGAAACACACTTGGAGGGAAAAAAGTGGAGGAGGAGGGAAAGCAGGATGAATTAAGACTGGCAAAGGTTGGTAATTGTTTAGCCTGGATGATGCATATGGGCTGCTTGTTACAGAACTTTCTCTACTTTCAGTATGGTGGGAAATTTTCATAATACAAAGGTGAAAAAGGCAATATATAAGATGTGCCTCTGGTGATTTCTCCGTGTTAAACGTGGTGTGGCATATGACCCAGGAGTCCATTTCTAGGTATATACCCAAGAAAGATGAAAACACAGATCTCCATAAAAACTTACACGTGAATGTTGACAGGTGAATTATTTTCATAATGATCAAAAAGTATACACCACCCAAATGTCCATCAAGTGATGATGAACGGGTAAATAAATTGTGGATGTTATTCAGCCATAGAAAGGAATGAAGTTCGGAGAGGCCTACAGCATGGATGAACCTTGAGAACATAATGCTGAGTGAGAGGAGCAATTCACAAAGGCTCACATACCATGTTATTCCATTTACATGAAATGTCCAGAACAGATAACTCTATGGAGAAAATAGATTAACGTTAGGATTGGGGTGGGGAGAGCTGGCCACTGATTGTTAGAAAAGGGCATTTCTTTTTGAGGCTATGGAAATGTTCTATAATTGTGATGGCGGATGCAGAACTCTGAATATAGCATACTTTAAATGGGTGAATTGTATGATAAGAGAATATCTCAATGAAGCTGCTAAAAAAAAAAAGCCATCCCCACTCGTCTCCTCCACTTTCTCCCTGCACTTGCTCACGAATTTTAAAATCCCCACTGTGCTCTGTTCTGGCAGTCACTGACAATTCCTAATAGTTGTAAACTCCAAGGGATTCAGAATTCCCTCAAGGAGAGAGGGGTTAATTCAGTATCTCCAGAGCCAGTGAGCTCTGGTCTAAAAAGTAACTTTGTTTAGGTAGGGAGAGAGGTGGAGAAGAGCATTGTCATGACCAAGTTCTTCCTAACTGGAAGGTAGGTTTCTGGGTCTGGAACAGGGGTGGGCAAGCTATAGCCTATGGGCCAAATTCAGCCCACATCCTAATTTTGTGCATACAGACACTTCTGTTCGTTTCCAAGTTGTCTAGGGCTGGTTTCTTGTTATGATGAGTAGGAGAGCTGCAACAGAGACCATGTGACCTGCAAAGCCTGAAATATTCAGTATCTGGCCCTATAGAAGGAAAGTGTGCTGGTCCCTGAGAAGGAAGAGTCAGGGCTTGAACCCCAGCTCAAGACATGCTGGGTGTGTGACCTTGGACATGTCAATTCCATTCTCTAAGCCTATTTCCTCATCCGTAAAACAGAGATAACAGTTCTTCCCTCACATGTTGCTGGGCAACTAAAATGACTTCATATGTGTAAAGTGCTTAGTACATATAAAGCATTCAGTGTGTGTTGGTAGTTATTTAGAAAATGAGGAGAATTCCCACTTCACAGGATTTTCTGAAGCAATGGAGATAATGTGGTGAAAACAGTTGGCAAAAAGTGTACAAACGTATACACTTGTATTGTTACAAATATCTCAATGGCTTTTGAAAGATTCTTTGCTTCTTAGTAATATTTATAACTTGGAGCTTTGAGACAGTAAAAGAACTATAATTTCAGAGGGAAAAAAATACAAAATCCAAAAATCCAAGCCTTCTCCTCTAACAGTCCAGGAAACTGCTCCCTGACACTGCCTGGGACCTGAGCCCCCCAGAGCTAACTAACCCCAGGATCCTCTTGGCTGACCCCTGCATCTTCCCCAGTAGGAGGCGCCCTGGAACCCAGGTCCGCATGGCTTTAAATACTTGTCCCTGAGCTCACCAGAACCGCTTAAACAGTAATCTGCTACAGGGTGTTGGCACGCAGATTTGGGGCAGTGGGAGGAAAGGGACCTGCATCTCCACCCCCTGAAGGGGCTCTCCAGAAGCCTGCTGGGCTGACACCACCGCATGGACGACCTGCTTTCCTGGAAGTTGTCACTGAAATAGGTCTGGTTCCAGAGACATAACAGCCTCCTATTCACTGGCCTCATTTCACAACTATTAACTGAGCAGCTAATACACACTAGGCTCTGGGAGTACAGCAGTGAGTGATACATGGTCCCTGCCTTCTCACAGGGGGACCAGACAAATGAGTAGGCATTTGGGCCATTCTGCCTGGTAGTTAAGTCTTCATACTCTCCTCAGGATTTCAGTCCCACACTAAACATTGTAAGGATGAACTGAGAAACTACCCTGGACCTGGCTATATGACATCTGGAAGTTAGGAGATAAGAGTGACAGCTCTGGGGGAAGTCAGATGTGGGCAGGACCGGCTCCATGATTGGCAAAATGAAAACCTGGGGCGGGGCCCCCTTCTTCCAGAAGTACTAAGAATTTCCAGATGACAACAGAACATTAAACCAAGTGCAGGACCCAAGACAGTGAAGCCAGCCCTGCACCTGGGCTCAAACCCCTTTCCAGCTGGGTACCCCTGGTCGTATGTCTTCACCGGCATAAGTCTCCACTTCCTCATTGGAACAGGACACGTTGAGGCCCGCCTGAGGGTTGGCTGTGGCTATTAAGTGAGGTGAGGCTTGTAAGGTGCTTAGCAGGAAGATGGACTCAGCAGTAATACTGATGTTCTCAGCCTACTGTGACTGCTGCCTTTCATCCTATAAGAATAGCGCACATGTATTATTCTCAGATAAGAGCTAAGACTTATATAGCACACAGTCAATGCCAGGCACTGTTCTGAATTCTTTGGGGACATTTGTTGAGTTCATCCTCACCAATGCCCAAAGGAGTAGGTACTATTATTTATTCTAGCACCTACAGATGGGGAACCTGAGGCCCAAAGAGGAGGGGGACCTTGCCTGAGGTCACACACTGGTCACTGGAAAAATCCAGACTCAAACAGGGGACCTGCGGCCTCTGGTCTGAGGTCTTACCTGTATGTCCCAGGAGTTGGCACAATACCGACACACACATGTGCACACACACACACGTGTACACGCCCCTTCTCCGAGTTGCTGCCACCAAGCTTACAGCGTGCAACCTTCCCCATAACACGGGATTCATTCTTTTTGCCTATTCTTTCCCCCATCTCCCCTGACTCAGCTTGGAGGCCCAGGAGGCTAGGAATGTCTTCTCCCCACTGTGCCTGTGGCACCTGGCTGGGTGCTTGGCGCACAGTAGGCCTTTAGCAGATATGTGCCCAGGGAAGGGAGGCAGGAAGCAGGCAGCAGGCATCCAGCCAGGGCACTCGGATCCAGAATCAACAGCTGCAGTCCGTGGAACCTTAGGACAGCGTGGCTTATGAACTTGTTATTCGGGAGACCCCACAGCTAAAGAAATGATCTCACCTGCTCCTGGTTTTTCTTACTTGGAGTGCTCCCCACTGCATGGGGGAGGTATTGAAGGGGTGCCCAAGGGCCCAGCAGCCCCCCTCCTGGCAGGTTGCAGGGCGGGGGCAGTGGTTGTGCTCTGGCAGCCAAGTGGCAGCTGTCCACCAGGCTCTCAGTACTCGCCCCAGCTGGCCAGCCAGGCCCCAGTGCCACCCCGCACCCCATGACACAGCAGAAAGTGAAACCAGAGTCCGCCCTTGCTGGCTGGGACCCAGTGCCTGCTGTTCCCCTGTAGAGCTACTATCCTGGGGGGGGAGGCAGGGATCTGGTGCCTGGACCTGGCACAGGGTGGCCTGTCGAGGCAGCGTGCCTCCTGGCCGAGGGCACTACTGTGGCCCCCATCTGTCGCAGGGCTGTGGGTGCACACTGCCCTCTGAGCTGGTGGCCTGTTTGTGAACCATCATAGCTGCCCAATTGAGCCCTCTAAACCCTTGATCTTCCCTCTGCTGTGGGAGAGAGGGTTTTTATTCTCCCCATTTCACAGAGAAAACTGAGGCTCAGAAAGGAGGGTGCTGGGTCATCATCATCTTAAAATAAAAACTAATCAGAGCTATGAGTGGGTGTAGGGGTGAAGAACTGAGGGGTCTCACTGGTGGTGGTGAGCAGGGAAGGGGGGTGGTCCTCCTCAGAAGGGAAGATGTGACACCAGGTTGTCACATGGAGCCATCTAGAGATTTGAGTTGGCAACCCACCCCTCTGCCCACTGACTTTCTGGGTGCAGAAAATCCTGTAGACAAATAAGAATTCTTAAAGTTAAGGGGACCCAAGTCTGCAGCCTGCCAGGAGCGGGGCTGGGCCCTCGGGCACCCCTTCAATGCCTCCCCCGTGCAGTGGGGAGCACCCCAAGTTTGAAACTTTACAAACTACCACCTTGATGTCTGCTCCTTCCTCAGGCCATCTATACTATCCTTTGCTTCATATTTTTCTTCCAAGCAACTTACCCCTTTTTTTTTACTAACAAACTGATGTAACAAAAGGGCCCTTCTATCCCTCCCCTAAACTGAAAACCAACCACTTGCTATAAATAGAAATTAGCTGTATGAGACTAGCTTACATCTTTAGTCAGGTACCACTTAAATCACTGAGTAGATATGCATACCAGACTTAGGAAACTTCTAATTCAAAATGTGGGTTTCATGCATGAGGCAATAGAGGCCCAGAGAGGTTGAGTCACTTGCCTGGGGTGTCACAGCAAAAGAGTCACAGAGTTTGGACGGGCTGATTCCAGAACCCATGCTTGTTGCTGGGCTGCAGTCCCCCCACCTGTCTCGACTATCTCAGCATATTAGGTGTATCAGTAAATATTAGTACTAGAACTTTCTATGTTTAACTCTTTAACTTCCCCATTTCCAAGGCACCCTCACAGCCTGTATATTATGCCTTGAGCTCATTATCACACTGGGTACACCCAAGAACCCTTTGAGGCCAGAGCTTGGCATGATGTCCGCCCCTTGTCAGAAGGGGAAACTGAGGCAGAGAATGGGAAAGTGGCCTGTCTTGGGGAACTGGCGAGCAATCTAGGACTGCCCAGGGCCCCCTGCCAAGGAGAAGATCCCAGAGGCTCCACTGGTAAGGCCAGGCTGGGGTGGAATTCGCCTGTCAAACAGGTAACACTTGTTCTTATCCACTTTCCCACCTCGCCCGACAGCCCCCAGAACAAAGGCTGCCACTAGCCACAGTTGCCCTGTTTCTAACATTCGGCCCCTGGAGGGCAAAAAGCATAGTGTCTGTGGATGGTGTCTTTATTTTTCACAGTGGTCACCAGTTCTGAGCACTGGGCAGGGAGATCTCCCAGGGACTGGAGGAGAACATCCTGGGTAAATGGGGGGAACATGTTTCTCACTTCTTTTAGCTGTTGGAGGCACTCCGAGCCGCTGTCTTCCCAGCCAGCCCAGGGACCCCCGAGGAATACTGCAAGAGCAATAAGGATTTTTAGGGGCATTATGATAGTAGAATGGAAACACATCTGCCCCCAAAAGTCCCTCATTTTCCCTGCGGTAACGAGCCAGCTGGGCAGGAAGTGGTGGCTCTCCGAGCACCAAGAGCCAAAACTAAAAAGGAAAAAATGTATGAAGTTAAGAGCAAACTTGCAACAAGCCAAAGCTTTCACGGTGTCCGGCGGCCCCACCCAGGCTCCTGACAGGCCTGACTTTCATTGGCTGATAATTGGGTAAATGTGTCTCTGTGCAGTGGCTTCAATACAGACACGCCTCTGCTGTGCCCAGGAAACCAGGATCTGGAATCTCAAAGCAGGTTATAAGGATGGCTCCCTAGCCCTTGGGGACTTGCAGTGGCCTGAGGATTTCCCCAAGACCCCAAATGATTATTCCACTCTAATTACCGATCTAATGAATCACGAATTCCATCAATATCTCCTCTGGAATGGGGGAAAGTTAGTCAACTTGGAAACCCCAATGAAAATATCTGGAAAGGGGGCAGCTGTTTCCACAGCTGTATAACCAACTGAAGGTCAAAGGCTTAGGCAGGGAGGCAGATGCTTACCGCTGATGAGGCGTAAGAGGGAAAATCACTTCTCAGGTCCCACCACTAATGACTGAGAATTGAGGAGTTCAGCAGCACTGGTGGGGACATGTGGCATTCAAGGTCTCTGAAGGTGAAAGTCCCCATGCCAGCTAGCAACCCCGGGGACTTGAAAGGGTTAGCCCCGCCAGAGTTGCTGACACCCAAGGAGGAGGAAGAGGCTGCTCACTCAGCAGGCTGGCATATCACACTGGGCCATCTAGAGAAGAGGGGAGCTGAAAACAGCCTCTGTGAGTTCTGTGAATGGAAGTGGTCTTATCGCCATCAAAATGAAAATGGGGTGCAAAGCCTTCCCAACACAGAATCCACTACCTGGGCGCTAGCTGGCTCCTTGGCACCTGTCGTGTGGCCCCAGAGCTCTGGCAGGGACTCTGGGCATCTGTGCCAGTAAGCACCCAGCTTCCTTGGCCAGGCCTGGGCAGGAGTGATTCTACACTCCCCATGTGACAGCCTGCAGCCCAGCTCTTTCTTTCAAGCAGCACCTAAAATATTCTCTGGTTGAACCTGAGGCTAAATATGGCACCACCTATGAGTGCTCGATCTGGACCTTGTAATGCCATTCTAAGATGCAGTCAGGAACCCACGAGGCCTTTTGGTGGCCTGGAGTCCAGTTACTGAGGCCAAATGGGAGACCCGTGGGATTGGCTAGGTCAGGCTGGTGGGATTTCCCCCAGAGGGGGCACTCCATTGCCAAGGCTGAGCAAGCTGCTTTCCTGCATGTTTTGCCCCAGAATGCCCACCCAGGTCTTTCTTGGCAGACCCCTGGGGTGACTCTATGTTGGCCCCTTCATCTGCCCAGCTGGCCCTCTGATGGCCCTCTAAAGCCTTCTCCCACTGAAGGCTGCCACTCTGGCTCAGGTTTTCCTCTCTGCCGGATGAAACAAGGGCTCGGCTCCCCGGGGGGTGGGAGGCCCATGGCTGGAGGGGATGGGAGCAAAGGTAGGCTTCCGCGACTTGCACAGGAACCTGGGGGTGTGTGCCCGCTGCAGCCTGGCGCCATGCCCCCTCAGATTACCCCGCATGGAAGGACCGCAGTCCTGTTGCCCCCAAAGCCCAGCTCCGTTCCTGAACCTTCTAGACTCAAATCTGCAGGGAAACCTCCTGTTTCCCTTATGAGCATTTGGGAGGCCGTTCTTTGCAGAGCAGGCTTCTGCCCTCGCCTGTCTCTAGGGAGGCTGTCTTCAGGAGCGAAACACCCCTCTTCCAGGTAAGGAATGCTGCAGGCTAGGTCCCAGAAGATACCCTCCCCCCCACCCGCCCCGACACCTGTCTGGGGCCCCAGTGGTGCCTCTCAAACCACTTTCAGGCGTGGCTGGCAGTAGTCCAGGCTGTCTTGCACAGAGAGGCCAACAGGCCTGGGCACCGATCTCACGCATGATTCCAACGAGAGAGCCTAGTTTTCTGCACACCTCTGAGAAAAACCTTTGCACCACACTGCACATCTAACTTAAGGTTCAAGCCAGCTCCTCCCTCCCTGCCAAAGCCAAATCCTCAAAAAGCTAAATTTGTCCCCATCTTCCTAATGCATTTTTAAAATGGCTGTCTTATGACCCCCAACATCAGTTTTAATTTTCTAGGTGTGTGTCTCTTTTATGTAGTGGTGCAGCCATACAGGGACACTGAGAAACAAATTTGCTTTGAGGTTCCTTAAACTCAGATATTTTATATAAGGAAGATGGTGTAAAAATCAGAAACCGAGGCTTTGTAAATATTTGCACATGCCCTCTGAGGACACTGAGGAAGCAGTATCTGATCCCTGGCTGCTCCGAAAAGAGGCCACAAGGACAGCTGGGGGGATTGGGGTGGCAGAGGGACCCACAAATCAACTCCTTGGAAACTCTCTTTCACATTCCCCCTTTTGCCTGAACTGCCTGGGCCTGAAAAGTCTAGGCATGGTTTATACCATGTTTGTGTCGGTGTTTTAGTTTTGTGTTTTGTTTTTTTTCCACTTTGTTGCAAATATAAGAAGCAAAAAGGCCTTTACATGTTCCCAAGTTTGGGATGCTGGGCAAGGAAGAAAATTCCAGCTTAAGTGAACGTTGATCAACAATGTTTTTTTCTTTGTATATACTTCTGGCAATTGATTCTAAGGACTGAGTTTGCCTTAACTTTCATCAGACTAATTTCTGCTGCCTCAGGTAGCTGTACTTACTCTACAATCCCAATTAAAAGAGGGTGAGCTGGTCTACTAGGAAGCTGTAAGTTTATCTGGCAAGAATCTTCTTTCTGTTCTTAATATAAGGTGGCGTGTATATAGGGAAGTACAAAATAGGAATGTTCCCTTGTAGGGATTTTTCCAACTTTCATTGGTTTGAGTCATAAATGTGTGTTTTATTTTTAAGGAAGTATTAGTTTCATTGCAGCCCAGCCTTTGATATTTTACCCCGAGCTTTATCATATTCCTTTTTATTGAGACTTTTTTTCCCTGTGCGATTGCTAAGAACTAAATTCGAAGTTGCTTTTTTTTTTTTTCTAAAGCCACACTTCTTCGCGGGGGAAAAATAGCAACTGCTTAATGAAATTTCACACAGAGAGGCAAAAGGAGAAAAGACAAATGTATTCAGTGTATTCAGCAGTTACACTTTCAATTTTTTTTTTCCTTATGGGGGGAAGGGGAAGGTGGTGGTAAAAATATGAAAAGAAGCTGTGATTCTTGGCCGAATTAATGACGACTTCTCACTGCAAAGTACTGATTTATAATCTCTTCACCATACTACTCTGCCTGTTTCCAGGCTCGGGGTGGAGCGGGGGCATGTTGGCTAAATGGTTTCATAATTACATGCACGGTTTCAGAGGGCTGTGTAAGCAAGGACTGCACTGTTGTGAGTGCTCATGTTCAACCAGGACCCACTTCCCATTCAGCCCTAAATTCTGTCTGATTTGCCACACTTAATAATTCAGTAATTTAACATACAGCTTCATCGTCTTGATTATAGCTCAGTATCTTGGCATACCATTCTGTGTTCTGACCTCGTTAATTCACGTAACACACCCTATTTGTGCAAGTATCATTAAAGGCTAATTTGGCGAGATATCCTTATTTAGCAAAGCAAATAGGTTCTGACAGTCGGCTCTCTGGTGCTATAGGGGGATGACGATTCAGCAAAGCACAAACAATTTAGCTCACAACATGACAAATTCCCATTGCCGAGCTACGCTGAAATTGTGGGCTCCTGAAAATCGTGCTGTTTCATCGTGTCCCATAACAAAGAGTAAGAATCTGGAAGTAAAGATGTTTTTGCCAGGGCCCTGGGAGTGCAGATGTCATCTGTGTGTACATGTGTCAGGTCTATTCAACACAGAAATCTTCTTTCAAGAACTTTGTGTTTGCAACTTTTTCAGGTACACCTCATTTGGCTATTCTCTGCTGTGAACATTTTATTGAAATCCAGGTTTGCATGTAAATAAACTTAAGGTATGTGGTTGTCTACATAGGGTACAACTGGAGGGCAGAGGTGTATGTGTATAAATTAATACCATTAATAAGGTGTGTGGTTCTGGGAGGTTTGTACCCCCACACCCTTGTCTTAAGAGTTCCCTGTGAACACATACTATCTCGAGTTTCTCATAAAATGACTTAGCGCAAGTGGCAGAGAAATACTGCATTTCCGTGTGGAAGCAAACAGACAGATGTAAAGACACATGTAATGATGATTCTCTATTTCAGCAGCTTTGGATTTGGGGGTGTGTGAAATGCGTTGTGGGGACCCATGTGCCACTCATTCCCTGCCCACTAAAACGTCTCATTAAACCACCCAGCAACAAATATTGTACTTTCTGCCTTCTCATCTCTGACCTCCCAAGGAAAGAGGCCCTTGAAAACAACAGGTTCAACAAACTGAAGACAGACACACGCACATACGCATGCACACACACGCGCACATAGAGGAATGTCCCCCCAGTAGCCTTTCACTTTTACCAAGAGCAGCAAACCTCCCCCCTCTCCTCCAACCCGCTTTGCAGCAGGCAGCTCAGGGTGTTGGCTCTCTGCCCTCACTCTACGGGGGCTGCCCAGGCCTGAATCCCTCGCTGTTTGGAATGACCCCAAAAGCGGGACTTTGTGGGCCAGTTGGATAAAACATAAACTCATCTTGCCCTCAAAACCCCGATTCTGGGACCACAGCCTCTAAAACCTTCTGCAGAAAGTGTGTTCCCTTCCACGCTCACAGCACTGGGGCAGACTGCCTCTGAGGGTGGATTTTGGAGAATCCTAGATAATTAAAGGAATCATTACTGGGTTTTCCTGCAGGAATGTCAGCTCATCTCACCGAAAAGCCGGGGTCCCGGTACTGACAAGGGGGCATTATTTGACTGCCCCATTAGGGTATCTTTTCCCTTTCTTGACCTCAGCTTCACAGTTGGGCCTGAAAGCTTCCCAGGTAAGACGCTGGGCGCCCAAAATGTCCCTTAGCAAAGCGCAAAAGGAGCTCCTGAGGTGCCTCCGAACTCGCCACCCTCTCCACATCCAGCTAAAGTTTGGTTATTTATGTCCTTAATTGTCTCTCATTAAAGTCAAATTTGCTGCTTGCCCCGATTGGGGGAAATGATTTCCACCTTAATAGCTCAATTAGCCTCTGGGTTCTGGAAAGGCCATCCCCCTCTACACATACCTTGCCTCCTCATTTTAAGCCCCCTCCCTTTTTCACAACTTCTCCTAAAAATAAATTATAAATATGGATGTGTCCTCAGAGGATCTGCGCCGCGCATTCCAACGCTCCCCACGGTGGGGACTGGAAGCAGGAGAAAGCAGAAAGGCCACTCCCCTAACCCCAAATCAAAATGTCTTTTCTGTTCACCCGAACTTTTGCCAGAGCAACTCGGTGTGGTCCCGGGCCCTGACACCCTGATCCACACCCCGGAACCTAGTTTTTTTTTCTCTCCTGCCCAGTAGAAGCAAGGAGCTAACGTACTATGGCCGCCGCCTTCTCGGAGGGAGGGAGGAGGCAGCCAACTTTACTTCAGGGAGGTGACAACTCTCTGGGGACCGTCCTCCGCCGCCTTTCCGGGCGTCTCCAGGGCCCGGCCCCCGGGAGCTGGCGCAGGCCCCCCGGCCCCTGCCAGCGCGGCCCGGGCGCACGTGGAGTGGCGGGGCGCGGCGGACGCGGGCGGCCTGCTATCCGCATGGCATTGATATCGGGGTCACGCAGCGAGACAGTTTCCCGAACGGGCTTTCCGGGGTGGGGGCGGGGTGGCTGCCTTGCAAACCACCCATTAATTCCCAAGCCTCGGCATTAGGGAGGTGGGGGGCTGCCTCGCCCCGATCTCACCTCCTCGCCTAACACGCCCATCTCGGGAGCCAGGGAGGCGGCTGCGGGGGGAGCCCAGCCCCGCCGCCTATGGGGGCGGCAGCAGCGGCGGATCGCAGCCAAGACGAGCCTCTAGTCCCTCTAGTCTCGCCAGGTCCCGGGAGAGCCGCAAGCAGCCCTCGCTGCCCCCTCCCGGCTCGCGTCCCCACCCGACCCCCGGGCGGCAGCCCCGCACCCCCCTCAGCCCCGGGGGCCTGGGCACCCACCTGCCGCGGCCCGGCGTGAGGTGCCGCGCCGGGAGGAGGGGGAGACTCACCGCCGCTGCCTCCTCCGGGGGTGCAGGGTCCCCGGGGCTGCGCCTTTCAGGGCTCCGGGGAGGCGTGCGCGGGGCGGGGGGCGCCCGCAGGCCCTGCAGCCTCCGCCTCGATTGGAGCCCAGCCTCAAATCCTTCACCGCGGAGGTGGCGGGGTGGGGGGGACTTCCAGAAAAAAGCTCCCACCCTCCCAGGCAAGATCCCAGTGATGGGCGTGGGGCGCAGAAAACCCTTCCGTGCCGGGAGCGCGGAGCCGACGGGGCTGCACCCGGCCTCCGCGGGCCGCCGCCGCCACAAGGCCGCGCCCCCGGTCCCCTCCCCCGCCCCCCCACGCCCTATGGCCGGCCCGGGGCGGGGGCTGGGCCGGCCCGGGTTGGCGGCGCTGGGGAGGCGGTGGCGGCGGCGGCGGCCCGGGCGGCGGGCGGCTCCTCCCCGGCCCGGGAGCGAGGGCCGGAACCTGGAGGGCCAGCGCGCCGCCGGCCCGGTGGGGGCTGGGGCGGGGGCCGGGGCGGAGGCCGCCTTCCTAGAAACCCTCGCCAAATATAGTCAGCGGATAGGGGCATTCCTAGAAATGCGGCGGCGACGTCAGCCTCGACCTGTGAGGACAGAGCCTGGGGTTCTCCAGACTGGGGGGGCGGGGGAGGGGGAGATCCCCCGCTTCCAGTACCCCCGTGGCCCGGAGGAGGGAGCCAGGCTGGGCCTCCCTCGCGGGGCGCGGGCGGGATCCCTCCAGATGCGCTCGAGGGATCCCTCGGCTGGGGTTCCGGGGTGCCCGAACAGGGACACCTCTAGTTCAGATTCGGACTCGCGCCCGATCGCCTTGTCCCTTTCGGGCACACTCAGGGACAGCACCGGCGGGCGCGTTTAGCCCTCCTTCCGATTTCCATCGCTCTGTCTGCCCCCCCACGAGCGAACTGGAGGAGGAGGAGCACCGCCAGGACGCGCCACCCCCCCGCGCCTCCTCACCACCCCTTGGCGGCCTCTGACCTCCCTTGCGATGCCTGGAGCCCCCCCACCCGAAGCTCCGGGCTTGAAATTGGAAGGACGTCTGTTCCCAAGATCTCCCCCGAATACCAACCCACCTTCAGGCCAAGAAATAAAGTTGTGCTTCCTCCTACCCACTCGAATGTCACTTTCTTGCTCTTCGCAGCCCCAGGATCTGGGAGACACACTGGAAATTGGGGGTAGGGCGTGAGGATAGCCTCTCCACCTGGCAGAGATCTGGCCTCTGGGGCTGACACCCGCCCGTCTCTCTTCCCTCGGCCCCCGCATAAGCTCCGTGGTTCCGACAGTAAGGGAGACCCTCCCCCACTCCCAGCTCAGCCCCCTGTCGTGCCCTTTGCTCAGAGACCCCCCAGATCATCACAGAAGTGTCCCTCTTGCTCAAAGAGGATCTGAATAACTGAGACATGACTTGTCCCCCTCCACCGCCCAGCCTCTTTTTAAGTAAACGTGACTGGACTGAGCCTCCCAGGGTCATAAAAAATGTATTTGCTGTCCTCTGTTGGCCGATGCGTGTCACATTCAAAAAACACATCACCCAACCTCGTGCGTGTTCCTGATGCCAGCTGCAGAGTCCCAGGACCCCAACCAGAAGGAGTGAGTGAGACAGCCCCCTCCTCTTCTGCCCCAGCTGCGCCTCTAGCCTCCCCCACTCCCACCTGGGTGTGGTGGGGGAGAGGGGCTGACTTGCAGCCGCCGCTCAGGTCTTGGGCCCACTGGCCTTGTGGCTCATGTCCCTTCTCCCTTGTTGGACTCTTAATTCCAGACACCTGGAGGGCAGTGCTCAAGGGGAGGCAAGGCAGGCTGCAGTGGAGGTCCTGGGCTCATTCAAGGTTGGAGGCCCCCTAGAATGGTTTTTCCAGAGCAAATTGGAGGGAGAATGTGGCCAAAGGGGAATAGATCAGACCCCCTCCTAAGGCAAAGGGTTACTCACTGATAATCATCAGTCCCCGTTTCCTTCTGAGGACCTACTATGTGCCAGCAAGTGAGGTATACTAGCTTACTGAATCACCCCATTTTCCAGATGAAAAGACTGAGCTCAGAGGTCTGTTGCTCATTGAACTAATGTTTGCACTCTGTATCCCAGAGCCGATGCTGGGGCCACAGTGGCAAACAGGACATGTGCCCACCCTGAGACACTCATGGTCTTAGGGAGAGACCCAAGTCGGCAGGTGGTCATCATGCTGCCTTCAAGGTCCAGGGCACAGCTCTGGAGCCCGGCTGCCTCGGGTCAGGCACCACAAGACACCATAGCTGGCCAGGGCCCTCCTGCCTGACCTCTCCTGCTGGTCCCACTCAGGGCTGTCTCCATTAGGCCTGCCTGCCCTTCCCTGTCCCTTCTTGTGGGGTGGAGCAAGAGAGGGACTGTGCTCTCCCTGCCACTTCCTACCAGCCGGGAGAGCCTGCACACTGCCCAGCCTCCCTGGGCCTCAGTTCCTCATCTGTAAACCAGGAGTTATAATACTTGCCTTACAGGGCTTTTTGGGAGGATTAAATAAGACCAAGTCCTAGTAGGTGTGTTTGGCAGGTATTTTTTTTCATTTCTTCCTATAAATATTCTCTTTTTATTTCATGTTTAGAAGCTGCAGTTTTAAGTACTATTAACATAAAATGCATAACTAAAGTTTTGTAATAAGTGAAAAAAATAATTATAAATGTTGGAAAAATTGGCCTCATTAACATATTTACAGACTTACTTAATACATGCTCTGTTGGAAATTGATAATATAACACTCACCCAAGCATTAACATTCCCAAATTTCTCTGCCTATGGACAAGTCCATACTTTACGGTCTGTAGCGACATTCAGAGAACCCAGTTTCTGAGGGCAGTACAGACAAGCGTCAGAAATGGTTAAACTGTGAAACTGTTGACATATTGTTCTGCTCCTCAGTCCAAGGTGTTTTGGTTGAGTAAATGGCTTTTCCTCTTTGCCCTGATCTTCCTGCAGCTTCTGGATTATGTTTTGGATTTCTTCTCTTTCTGCGCTCATAGTTCAAAACCAAGAATTGGATTTCTCTTGGAATTTTAACAACCTTTGACAGAGAAGGGCCTCTGAGTGAGTCCACAGGATGCTTGGCTGTGCTTGGTCTTATTACCTGGAGGAGGTGATGTCTATGCTGAGCCCAGAAAGAGGAAAATAACTGGGCCAGGGGGACGGGTGGAGTCCAGGCAGCAGAGATAGCATGTGCAAAGGCCAGGCCGCTCTGGGGAGCTGAAGCAGCTCCCCGCTGTCACAGCAGTGCCACTCAGGGGCCTGCAGGAGCTGACTCCCCCTACATTTGTGACTGAGCCGCAGGATTCTGGGAGCTCACCTCACTGCCCCCAGTTCAAGCCCTAAAAGCAAGATGCAGAAGGAAAAGGTGGGCTCTCGTAGGACCAGCAGGCCTGTGGGCAAGGTCCCACCGAAGGCAGCGAGGGCCGTGACTTTATCTTACACTTTAAAGCCTCCTCAAAGATGCCCTCCTGATCCCTTTGAAGCCTGCCCTTGACCATTCTGGCTCAGCTTACTGTGACTCAAGCTAGCGGCAGGCCTGAAATCCAGTTTAGCAATGGAAGCGTCTTCAGACTCCAGAAAACAACTGCTTTTCGGCCTGAAGCCTTGGAGGCCCACTCTGGCCTTCTCCCAGGAGGGAGCCCCACCCGTACGCAGGTTTCTGGCCCAGGGATAATGCCAAGACCCAGGCCAGAAGTGCAGAGAGGCCACACCAGGCAGACAGAGCTTCCAGAAAAGGCCTGGACTCCTGGGTCCCAGGCCCATAGAAAAAGAGAGAGAGAAAGTGGGGCAGGCCTCACCCTGCCTCTCTGTAGGTTTTCCTTGGGGCCTGTGTGGGGAATGGGAGGAGGGTTGCCAATTCCCCAGTCACTGCCATCTCCTGAAACTCCCAGAAGATCAAAAATGGAAAACTTCTGAAGCAGACATACAAAAACTATACTACAATAGGTTTTAAATGTTTGCATTGAGCACCTGTGTGCTCTTAAAAAGCAGACACATGCAAATAGTAAAGCAGGGAGGGCATGCAATTATGCCAGACATGGGGCAAGGTGGAGGTTTGTAGACAGTATGTCCTTAGGGGCTTCCAGTGGGGTTCACGGGCCCCAGGTGTGAAGTGGTGTTATGGCTGTCTCTTCCTCCCTTAACCCCATCAGAAGAGGGCTATGACCATCCTTGCGATATCTTCTGGAGATAACTTAAGAATTTAACCTAAAAAAATCTTATTATTGAATATGAGGACTTAGGCCAAGTGGTCCTCCCAAGTTAAGTCTGCAGTACTCTAAAAACCAAAGTTGCCACCCACATCTCAGACCCCTGACAGGAGGCTAAGCGATGGCCTTTCCTTCGGCCCTGCCCACCTGCCACAGTGGAGCCTCCCCCTGCATCCCTACCCCCCCAAAAGAAACAACAGAAGTTGGGGTCAAGGATGGCAAAGGGAAGCCAGTCTCTGTGGCCCTGGCCCTCGGGCTCTGCACTGTTGGGTGGAAAGAGCTCCCGACTGCCTGGGCTTTCTTAAGGCCATCCAGCCACCCAGAGCCACAGGCCCCTATGAGCCTTTAGCCTCCCACTGCTTATGGAAGGGAAACCACGGGGCCACTCCTCTCTTGTGAGCTTTGGCCCTGGCACCCTGTCCCGTCTGGCACATGGTGGGGTGAAATAAAGAATGTTATGATATGAATAAAGGGAGGGGAAAGCCCTGGGAAGAGAGGTGGCAGAGATGGGACTGTAGAGACATCCTGTCTGTAAGGTGGTTGGGTTCCCAGGAGGTGGAGAGGCACAGGGTGGGTGGAAAGACCAACTGCCATTTGGTGAGACCGAGGGGTCTGTGGTTCCTGGTGGGCTGGGAACAAGCTCCTGCTTGCTAAGGGGATCATGACATGGGACTCAAAAGGTTTTCGAAAGGCTTTGCCATGGAAAGCAGAGCCAGAAGTCAGGCTGTGGTCTGGGACAAGTCCTTAGCCCTCCTGAGGTTTGTCGCATGTTGCCCGCAATAGGGATGTTCAAAGGCTCAAACTGCATGATTTGCACAAAATGCTTGTCGGGATCTGGCGTGTATGAAAAGCACAATAAACTGTAGCTGCTACTTTTCTCTGTTCACCACTTAGGGTGGCGAACCGGCTGTGTGTGTGGGCACTGTGAGCAGCTTCACAAGCAGCAGAGGTTCTCACTTCCCTCCTTTAAGAGGTGGACAGTGTCCCTGGCAGGTCCCCTCCCTGCCCCTCTGTCCAGTGAAAACCAAAATGGAAGTGGAACCAGAGTCTGGGCAGGTGGGCCAGACCTGGTC